GGGCGCCCCTGGTTGTCCTGAGGGCCGGGCAGAGCAGGGACACACCCTCGGGAACGGCAGGGCCCAGGGGAGGAGGGGGTCTGAGGGCAAGTTCTTCATCGTCCCTCTGGCGGCCGAGGGTCCCGAGGTGCGGGCCGCGATGTGTGGGGTCAGATCTCAGAACCATTCGCCAGAACGGGGGAGCCCTGCAGGGGTGCAGGCATGTCCTCTCGCTTCAGGGGTGCATCCTGACACCCCGAGGGGCCGGCAGGGTGGGAGTGCCAACCCTGATTGGGAAGAGGGGTGCAAGCGGAGGACAGCAGGGTCACTCACGAGAAACGTCAGTCCCTGCGGGGGTCCCCAGGGCCCGGGGCTGAGCTGCTGTGTCCGAGTTTGACTCTCTTGTTGGGAACGGAGAGGACCCGCTAGGACCCTCTGCGCCCAAACAAGCTGAAGTGGGTATTTTGTCAACAAGGAGCATCGGGCCCTGGGATGCATCGTTTGTTGTTTCTGGAACCCGTGTATGTTCCCTGCAGAATTTTTCTGTCTTTTTCCTACTTTATTTTTTTTTCAGTTTTATGACCAGGTATTTTTCCCATCCTGTGCAACTTGAATCTGAGAAAAGTCAGAAAAACCTAAATGTTCAGGGGAGGACTACTTGGGATTTTCTAAATATCCAAACTGTTACCGATTTCTTTCGTTCCCTTTACTACATAAGAATGCAGTTTTTTATTCTAAAAATATGAGGCATCAAATGAAGAACATCAACAACGTGAACTATTTCTTCTCAGACATCATCAGCCCTAGATCCACACTCATCCCCAAACACTTCTATGCTGACTCGTCACTGCAAAAGGGCTCCACACATACACTTTCTAATCACATGTATTTTTTGTTCGTTTATTTAATTCTCACCCAAGGATATATTTTCCCCAGTGATTTTCAGAGAGAGAGGAAAGAAGGAAGGGGGCGGGGGGAGAGAGAGAAACATTGATGTGAGAGAGACACATTGATTGGTTGCCTCCTGCACGATGGGATCAAACCTACAACCCAGGTCCGGGCCTTGACTGGGAATCGAACCTGGACTCTTCGGTGTGTGGGCAGACGCTCCAACCCCTGAACCAGGCTGGCGAGGGCTCTCTAATCAGAGCCCTCTAATCACACGCATTTTAAGCAATGACACAAGATTTTGCATTTCAATTATTGCCACAGAGATAAATTATTGGAAAGTTTGATTTAATCTTTCACTGTGACAAAAAATGCGAAAGTGAAAAAAATTGCAAACTATTAGGAAATGAGACCGCCGAAAAAGAACATATTTCTGAGGAATTCAGGGGAAAAGTCACAAAAGATTACATCATGCCCTTGTGATTCCCCAAAGTGACCATTACGGAGAAACGCAGCACTTAGGAATTATCCAGTTTAGACCAAATTGTCTTTTTCCACCAAATTGCCATGCATCGCTTCCAGGCAAGCTGCCTCGCGGGGTGTCGCCGCCAGGTCACCTGGAAGCAATCAGGGTCATTCGATCCCGATGACATCAGCTCTCCCAACTGGGCTGTTCCGGGCTGGG